TTTCCCTCTGTGACTTTAGCAAGTCTCATCTTTATAGCCAGTGATGTTAAATAAACAGGTCACGTAGCTCTTTATCTGTCACACCCCACAAATCACATTTTCCACCATTAAAGTCCTATGTGTTTTGGCTTTTAATTACCTGACTTATCAGCATGTAATATTTTTCTCCTTCCCTGCAATAATTACATTCTGAATCAGTGTGCCATTCAATATTGACCTTTATTTATAACTCTCACAAAGAGTTGAATGTTTATTTTTAAAGCATGAAAAGCAAAGTTTGTAAGAATATTGATTCAGTTTATTTAAAAAGCAGTGGCCTAGCATTTTGTGAGTAGAAGTAATCACAGGCAATTACTAGCGACTGCTCTTCACTACTAATCTTGGGTTTAACCTTATAATTGTATTACTGAATTTGCTTCACTTTGCTCACATATATCACCAGGGTCATAGTAAGAAGTCTAATAGCAACATAATTTAATAAGCTCGAGGGGAAAAATGCTTTTAATTGATTTAAAAGAAGACAGACATATAGGCAGTGCTAGGTGCTGAGGAAAGAAGCATTGTAATGTTCTTTTTTATTTAGCAATAAATGATAATTCATATTTAAATGCATTAATGAAATAAGTTCTTAGTGGCTGGGTCACCAATTTTTAATGTTGATGTCACTAACAAAATCACTAACTGCTCCTAATGGTGTCCCTACGCTAAGCTTCACTTTATACCTGGTATATAAGCTACTTTGATTGCTGGTAGCATGAATTTGTGAGTGTGAAAAGTAAAGTCAAACTAAGAATAATTCTTCTTGTCTTTATCCCAGTATATATTGTGTGGAAAGTGGACACACTCAGAAAGAGCTTAGAGAAAAGCAAAACTAGCAAACACTAACTAAGGCCCCAGATCTATGCAGACATAATCTGTGTTGACTTCATGTTACTAGACAGCTAATTTTAGAGCAAGATCCAGTGAATATGTAATTGTCTGTTTGGGATTAAATTAGAGCTCTGAGCAGCAATAGGGTAATGACAACTGTCTAGAGACCTGGACAGGCTGGAGAGCTGGGCAGAAAAAAAAACGGATGAGGTTTAACAAAAGCAAGTGTAGTGTCTTGCATCTGGGGAGGAATAATTGCATGCACCAGTACAGGTTGGGGGATGACCTGCTGGAGGGGAGCTCGCGGAGAAGGACCTGGGTGTCCTGGTGGACGACAGGTTGGCCATGAGCCAGCAGTGTGCCCTTGTGGCCAAGAGACGCATTAAAAAGAGCGTGGCCAGCAGGTCGAGGGAGGTGATCCTCCCCCTCTACTCTGCCCTGGTGAGGCCTCATCTGGAGTACTGCGTCCAGTTCTGGGCTCCGCAGTACAAAAGACAGGGATCTTTTGAAAAGAGTCCAGCGGAGGGCCACAAAGATGGTGAAGGGCCTGGAGCATCTCTCCTATGAGGAAAGGCTGAGTGAACTGGGTCTGTTCAGCCTTGAGAAAAGAAGACTGAGAGGGGATCTGATCCAGGTCTATGAGTATCTAAGGTGTGGGGGGCAGAATGGTGAGGCTGGACTCTTTTCAGTGGTGAGTGGAGACAGGACAAGGGGAAAAGGCCAGAAACTGCAGCATAGGAAGTTCCGCACAAATGTGCACAAGAACTTCTTTACAGTGAGGTGACGGAGCACTGGAACAGGCTGCCCAGGGAGGTGGTGGAGTCTCCTTCTCTGGAGATGTTCAAGAGCTGCCTGGATGCCTACCTGTGCGACCTGGTGTAGAGAACCTGCTTTGGCGGGGGGTTGGACTCGATGATCTCTGGAGGTCCCTTCCAACCCCTACAATTCTGTGATTCAATCAAAGCATATTTTATACTTAAGTAAAAATGTTAATTTTATTAACAGTCTAACCTGCTGTTTAATGCAGGGTAAGATTAGAGGTCAGACTCTACAGGACCTTGTCATATTAGAGAGCTTTATACAATCTGGACAAAACCATCATGGATGGAGACTGCACAGCCTCTCTGCCTTCCTGTTGGAAGCTCTTTCTTGTTTCAGCTCATATCCATCACTTCCCATCATTCTCTACTATGAAGTGTTTCACTGGATCTCCTGCATAACTGGTAGGTGACCCCGAAGCCACCTCTCCTCCAGGTGGAACAAGTCTCAGTCCCACATTCTGTCATCCCACTGCAGCTTTTCCAGTCTTGACCATACTGGTGGCCTCCACAGAACTCAATGCCTTTCTTGCATGGTAGGGGCCCAAAACCAAATACGGTGTTCTGAATGTAGTCTATTAGAGCTTCACTCTTTACCTGTTCATAAAGCAAAGAACTTGTAATGTATCTGGAACAAACTATCAAGCATTTCAAAAGATTTAAAATCATTGTTTTAATGTCAAAAAACAAACAAATAACACTCCACCCTGTCCCTCCCCATGAATGGACACACATGAATCAGGAACATTACTGAGCTGTCTCATCTTCAAGTGATACTATGATAAGGCTCCAGTTATGAATACAGAGCTAATGATTCTCATTGTAAGATCTTAGAATCACTTAGCAATTTGGTGATAAACCCTATTCTTGGAAGGTTTTATGTCCCCAGAACCCAGCAAGAGATATGTAAACCTTTTTGGGGGTATGAGAGAAAGGAGACACTTGAATATTCTGTATGTTTATATAGATATATATAAGGAAAGTGACATTTCAGCAGACAATTAACACCTTAATATGTTTGGGATTCACAAATTACACATACATTTAATTACTTACGTGGCTTAATTCCTACAGTTTGATCCTGCTAATACAGCAAGATCTAATTCATACTGACAGCAGTGATACCAGAACTAGGCATTTTCACTTAAAGCTTGACCAACGAGGGCATCTCTGCTGTTCACAGAAAACCTGGGGCTGTAGATTTATGCGTTCTGTGCACAGAGTCTAAGCAGCCATATCTGCCTCAAACCAGGCTAGATGAGTTGGCAATTCATGTTAATTGTCATTGTTTAGAAAAGACTGCAACAATTGGCAGTGCTAGAAATAAAACAAAAAGTGACTCTGTAGCCCAGAAAGACTTGAAAGGAAGAAAGTTCAATTTTAGCTAGGTAGCCAGGTTTATCTGTTTCATTTGCCAGCTTCTTAGTGCAAAACGACCATGTAATTCTATCATATTCTTGCTTCTTGCTCTGGTCTGTAGCTTCTGAATTTGCAATTGCAAACTATCGCATCATACAGGATAAGGAAAGTTCAGAAGCCAGAGTTTCTTCATCATGTTGAGCACATCAGACGCTATATCAGCTGCCACTCTACTTCACCTTCTTGCTGTGATTTACATGAAGAGAAATAGTTCTTTTGATGAAGAGGAATAGCTTAGGCTTGCAATTGCAAAAAGCAAACATCAAAATCCTGTATACAGTTATTGTCTTGAAGTTGTTATTTCAGTGTTTCATAACGGATGTCACTTGAACACTTCAAAATTCAGAATATCACAAAATCATGGAAATATATATTCGCTAAGGTTGGAAAACACCTCTAAGATCATCAAGTCCACTGTCAACCCATCACCACCATGCCCACTAAACCATCATCCTTTGAATACTTGGCCTCATAAGGATGATATCAGTTTCTTTCTCCCAGCTTCACCCAGCTGAGCCATTTACTTGTTATTGGGCTGTTAGAAAAGCAGACTGAAAAGATTCTAAAAATGTTTCTAAAACGTTTCTAAAATGAATATGTTTCTGAAAGATTATGGTCACCATTGGTTTTTAATTTGTGCATTCTGTTTTTTAAGCACTTGATGGTTCTTTCTTTTAAAGTTGTGACACAAAATGGCAAAAAAGATTTTTCTTACAGAAAACAAGCACTCAAAAAAACAACCAACCAGCCAACCAACCAACCAACCAAAAAAAAACATCCAAGAAGCCGTCTAATGAAAGAGATCAATCAGTGATAATTGAGAGATGAGAACTTGGGGAAGGAATGGATGTACTGAAGTAGGAAATTGGAATGTTTTCTGAGCTTACCATCTGGTCAGATACTCACTTTCTAATAAGCATGAGATAATCTGTCTCCTTGCAGACCAGAATCATCTGCCAATGATACTTGGTGTGGGTTCCTTTGCTGCTTTATGGGTAACCATTCCCTGTAGGCCATTCCTACAGCAACAGTACTGCTTTTGTCCTATTTGGAGGCATTTAACTGTGCGTCTACTGTTTTTTCCCCTCTTAACTTAATCTTATGTTGGTGTTATGAATTAATAAGCTACAGAACTACGTAAATATAGAACCATGAAATAGCCAGATCCCAGAACAGACATCTAATTGGATCAGCAATTCAGAAATAAGTATACCTGATTTTGAAACACTATGTAAGATAAGGTAATTCAGGCACATTTCTGGTACCCAATGGATTATTTTTGTGTGTGCGTTGCTTTTTTATTACATAGCTTTAATTATACGTAGCCTTCTAGGACTAAAATTGTCATAAATATTTGCATCGATAAATAATTAAAACTAACACAAATGTGAGTCAAATTGTCTTTAGGGAAAGCTCAAGTTCCAGAGATGTCAGTAGTGGTCTCATCAAGAACATAACTAAACATTTCTAATGAAATCCTCCGCCCAGTTGCATGATGAATGAATGCTATGAGGGCTCTGCTGTCCTAGAAAGAAGCAGCATAAATTTACTTGAAGCAATTTAATTCTGATCATAACCATAATCTTTTATATATGTTGCTGGTTTTGAATTACTAATGATGTGATATAAAATTGATGTATATCAATATTTCCTTGCGTCTCAAGCACAGGGAAATGATTTCCAGTCAGTATTGCCATAATATCTCCAGAAGGAATGAAATACAACTGTTATCTCTACCTGCATACTCAATATGTGCCTACCAGCACACACACACGCATAAACCCAAAAAATCAACACAATATTAAAAAAAAAAAACAAACAAGCATAATCATATTTTGATTGTCTATTAATTTGAAACAAATTCAAACTTAAGAAACTCTGATTTCAGATTACCTTGGATACTCTGTTTGCAACCTCTCTGCCTACTGTCAGCCCCTGAACAAAGGTCCGTGCAGCAATGAATGCTCTAGTCACTTGAACCTTCAGCTTCCTGGGTACATCTCCAAATGGTTTCAGCTGGTCTGTATACTTGCTTACACACTCCAAGTAGTCCTCAGTGAAATGATACTGGGGGTTTATGAGCTGGAACATCCTCTCCAGCAGCCGAGCCCAGAAATCATTCAGCATTTCCTCCAAGTTCACATTGCCTCCCGTGTAATAACGCTTCAGTTCTGTGAAGAGATCCTGGAACACCTCTGAGTTCTGCATATACAGTGTGCCGTATGTCCGTACGAACATATCATTTAAGGACCTTTCAGCGTTCTCAAGAAGTTCTCGGAAAAATTCTGCAAAGTAAACAAGGAGACATTAACAAGGAGATATTAGTAAAGCATAAAGGGTTTCTTGATTGCATTCCTATGTAAACATTCGTAAGGCTTGTCCTAATATGTTGTCACTACACTTCGCTATTCAAATTAATCTATTTAGATAAGAAATAGCTTTTTTTGCTTTTTTTTTTTTTTGTGTGTGTGTGTGTGTAGAGGCAAATAAAAACAAAGCATATCCCAGATTTCCCAAGAAGGTAGAAAGATGTAGCACTGTAACACTGAACACCAAAAATACCCTTAAATAATTTCAATGAGCATACCTCCATTTCCCTCCATTTCCTCTCCACTTACTATTTAATGCAGATATCCCAAACTCTTGCAAAATCTTTCACAGCCAGTATACTAATTCTGGTATACTAAATGTCAAGTCATTAATATGATGACAGTACTGAAATTGTAAAAATTTTAAAATAACTAGACAATGATATGTTCTATTAAGATGAAGTTGTTACAATATAGAGGAACGCTCTAGAAATAAAACAGAAAATTAATTTGCAAATATTCTTGAATGCTGGAAATGAGCAGAATATCCATTAAAAGTATTATTTGGTTAGGAAATGCTAAGAAAATGTTAGCATTTTCAATAATCTATTACTCCATTGAAGTACTTTACCAGAACCTTCTACCATCTGTGTCAGACTACTAATTTCAATTTGTGTTAGTTGTATTGGAGTAGCAGACTTTATGTTTTTAAATGCATTTCATACTTTACTACTTTTGTGCATCTCCTCTACTCAGGCCTGTACCATTATCTGTTTCTAAGTTTTGATTTCTGGAATTTATTATTACTGGGAAATGAGCCCATGGGATACCAATCACAGTAGAGATCCCTGAATTCTCTCCTTGTACACTGGAAATGTGCAATCATCTCTTTTGCTAATATCCTTTATCTGCTGTATGTTGCTTAAGTTTTCCCAAGGAAGCCACTGAGATTATAGTCATTTTTTAAACATATCTGACAAAAGCAAACACTGCTGCTTTTGTTTTATAGAAGATCCCATCTTCCTACAGAGTCCATTTGTCAGCCTTCTTAAATCTCCTTTGGAAAAGGGGTCAGTGATTGCTGTGGTCTGTAAATGGGGCATTGCAGACAGCATGGAAGAGATGGCAACAGCCTTGGCAAAACACGTATATTTGCTGCTATGAAATGATTCACACATATGCAGGAGTCATCACGCAGCCAGCTCTAGGATGCCAGATTCTAAATACGTGGTGGTTGCCCATAGACACATCTGTGTGTGCTCTCTGCAGGGACACGCTGGATTCTTATAGTTTTGGCTAATGTTATAATGTGAATACTCTTTTGATAAATAGCCCTGTTGTGGCTACAAAGACTCATGAAAATGCAGAATCATTTCAGTGCTAAAGACACAATAACAATTAAGAGCACCAAAGAAAAAGTATGCACTAAATATGAAGATGTACAACAGAGATCACTTGAAAGCTGACTTCCAAACACAGTGGCTGCACAGACTCTGTGAGAAAGGAACAACTCCCTTTTGGCAGAAACAGTGCAGAATTGCAGTCTTTGATCTCCTAGATAACTGCAAAAGAGTTATCATGAAAAATGCATACATGGAACACTGAAAACACACTCAGTACATCAAAGCACTCATTAAAGGGAAAATACATTCTAAGAAGTGTATCAATGTCTAAGCTGTCATCAAAATCATAGCTTCTTAGATGGCATAAATTCTTTCTGGAAAAGAATATGCTTCACCAAAAAGTTTATGTAGGGAAACAAACAAACAAAATCCCCCCCGAAAACCCCAAACCTTGTTCTCCTCTGTTGCCAAATAGAGCAACTTGAGGTCCACAATACACACTTCAGAGGTGTTCTCTGCTGTTTTTCCAAATTGCCCACTAATTCTGACAATTCAGTTTTAGAGAAAAACAAAAACAAAACAAAATTGTTTTTCACCTCCCCCCCGACATATTGATATCCTTGTCGTCTGAATCACTGACTACTATTTTACACAGGCAGCATTTCTCCTTCTAAAAAATAATAAATGCTGTCTCTATTGCTGAATACATCTAGCTGTCTACTCATACATTGTGGAAGACAAGAAGATGGCTGAGAATTTAAGACTCAATCCAAGATTTTAGACCAGTGCAATTGAATGGCAGTTGTGAAAGACAATCACAAAAGCAGTGAATCTAGACCCCTCAAATTCTCTCCCATTACAATGTGTATACCACAGGGCTGCTCTAAGAGATTTAAATGTTGGCTCCTCCAATCCATAGCTATGCTGAGAATTGCACTATTCATCTGGAAAGATTGTGTAAGTCTGTCACAGTGAAGCATAAGAGTTTCAGTTGCTGACAGCTTCTCTGGTCAGAGATTGTTTGCATTTTATTTTCTTTGCACAGGCATATGATATGGCAATCTTGCAGTCAGTTTCTTAGAAAATAACAAAAGCTTTTAAGGAGGGTTGGACTTTTATTCCATACTTCTACAACATTATCACTAAGTGTACAGTCTTAAATCGCATGCTAGTCTAAATGTGACACCAGACTTATACATTCTATGGGAAAGGTGATGCGCTCCCTGAATAGCAGTATATTTATTTAATCTTAAGTCTTCTCATAGGTCTCTATTCTACTAAAAAGTTAGACCTTTCGTCTTCCACATGCTTCACTACAAAAGAGTTTAAGTGTTATCTTCATCAGTGCCTCCATACAGAATTAGGAAAATAATGCACCACTAGCAGCAAAATTGGACACTTCATTCAGTTTCAGAGAGAAGTCCTGTTGTATTGATTAGGAAACATCTTAATCTATTCCTGTCCAGCAAAATGAATACTGTTGTAAAGGGTCACTTTCTTTCTCAGCCAGGAAATCTTCCATGCATCAGGAAAGTAGACTGCTCTGTGTTGCTCTTGTACAGTTACTCTGTCCTGACATAACTGGGCACTTGTCCAGCTACATGAAGAGAAACTGCACTTGCTTCTGCACTGGCTGATTTTTTTCTATGGTGTTCATAGTAATTTAAAGATTCTATGTTCATTGCAAAGATGATATTTCATCAACTTGCAGCTACCTTTCGAAAAATAATCTAATATTTCAGCTCAAAGTAAAAGAACAAAAATGAGACAGACATTAATCATGTTGCTTAATGTGCTTCTGGAAGGCACTCAAGTACTAGTGTTGGAGAGGAGAATCTATATAAGACAGAGCTGCACAGCGTTTGAACTTATATATCTTGTAAACTTTTTTTGCTGCCAAAATTGGTTGTCATGAGCAGTGTTAACACTGGAAATAATTTTTCGTAAGTTTAAATGGAAATGCTTTTATATGATAGAATATGTCCTGGGTGTGTCTTATGTTACAAACTCATTTTTATACATCTTCCATCTATTAGACAGATGTTCATCAGGCAGACAGTTCAGGTCTACTATCGAAGTAATTCAGAAATATAATGTCAAAGGTGTATTGAGCTACAGTGCAAAGAACTGAAAAGAAAAAACAAATAATGTGATTTGAAACCATTATATGCATTATATGGACTTAAATGATGGGTTTGGGATCAACAGATAACACTTCAACTATTTTTAAACATTATTTGTACATGTTAGATGGAAGATCACAGTCTCTGCAAATAAAGTTTATTCTTATTAAACCTCTAGTCTATGATGAGACAACTCAGTGAAAGGGCAAGATGCATTGGTTAATGCCCCCTACCGGATGGTATGTAATGCTCTCGTTAAAAGTCAGGTCTTAGTTCTCATATTACACTGTCAGCTGAAAGCTGACTTTCTCACTCTAATCCACTGTTAGAATTTAATTCAACCTGTGAGCTAGTTGACACCACATCAGCAGATCAAGATTGGTGATAATACTGTAGCATGACATAGTGCAATAACTCCCTTCATTAGAATATAATCACAACCATCTAGAGACAACAATTCGCTAAATAAAATAAAAAGTTGTATTGTGCATGAGCTGATATTCTATATCAATTCCCAGAACAATAAAATCTCTTCATTTTCTTTCCATGTGTAGGATAAGCAAAAACAATCTCCAGACGTCTGGAGATTCTGGAGATCAACTTGCAAAGCTAGAAATAATTTGCTGCTTGATTCTTGAAAACAAAGGTGCATGCACAAGAATTAAAACTAAAATACTAAAAGGCAATTTTGTTTATTCATGATGTATTCTGTGCTTTTTTTTTATTTTGCAGATCTTTAGTTTTGAATGTTATACTGTGGTGCACTTGGTACACTGAATATCCAGTACCTGAGAAAACAACACAGTTGCAGAGAAGTCTACAGAGATTCTTGCCAAATACCTGCGTATTTTTCATCAGCCTTTACAGAAAACATTGCCCAGGGTGGCATACTGATGTTGCTCCTCATTGACACTAACACCACCACATATAAGTCAGTTCCCATTGCAGTTTTTTTCTGCTCGTAGGTATTGATTTTTAAGTTGATCACAAATTCTAGAAGTCAACCATTTACTGTGAAGATGTCTATGCCCTTACAGCATATGGAATTTAGGTACCTAAATTCATTTGATGCCTTTTAACAGACCTAGTGATATGGCTGATGCTAAAAGGTATATTAGAATTCACATAAGCTGACTGTCATTTGGGACAAAAAGGGATCTTTATATAAAGATACTTACATTGATGACATACATCAATGACGATCACATTCTTTTCTTCAATGCCCTACTTCTTTCTTTGTTTCTTTGTTCATGAAGAAAATACTTTTTCTAATGAACATGGTACCTTTCTACAGGATGCTTGAAAAGGTTTTTTTTAATTAAAAAAAAAAAAACAAACGATGCTCCACGATGATACTAAGTAGTGAAGGTCATGATTTATCTCATTGAAACTCTATTGAAATTAATCTGAACGAGTTCTGTTCTGTTCTGTTTTGTTTTGTTTTGTTTTTAATCTTCTTACTATTTATTTTAGGTTTCAGAGACATTTTTCCAAACAATAACTAAACTTT